TCTATGATGACACTTTATTTGACAAATGAGAACTTAAAATTAAGCACAATCTTCAAATTAAGTGCCCTAAGTACTTAATTACATAATGTCACTGTACCCTAGTCATGTTTTCCTATCTGCTGGAAAGCTTGTTTTATCATTATGAAGGACAACCAATATCTTTCACCACAGTTACACAAATGTACAGCAACACAGGTACTATCTACCAGATATCATTCATAAATGACCTGGCAACATTGATTATAACATTTACTTCAATATTCGCCTTTAGTTTCCTTGGTACTGTAGAAAAAATTACACGTGGTATTGTTATTCAGATAGGTTATTAAACATCTTGACTTTTCTGTTATTTATTCAATAATAAAAATTGTATTTGTTCAGTTTCTTGATGGAAATGATCAAGTATCTATTATGAATAAAATCATACACTTATTTAACTTCCCTATACAATTTTCCAGTCTAAGAAGTAAAATAAAGAAAAAGGATAGTAGTAATAACAAAATAAAATGCTTAATAACTAAGTCTGCTTTCACCATTTCCTACATTAATCCAGAAGACTTCATTCAGCATCTTTATTCTATGGAAGGCCTAAATTCTGACTAATGTGGGATTCCAGTATGAAATTTCTTTCAGCAGTTAGTATGGACTGATGAGCTTCAAAAAAGCAGTATTGGATTTGTACCTCAGCTCATCTGTGACTAAGCTATCCATCTCATCTGATGTGATGTAATCAGAAATTAAACATGCTGGACACACAATCCATCAATCCTACACAAGCCATATATTTTGCATTATTCTTAAAAAACACTGATGGAACCATGTGTCTTGTGTATTACAGATAATCCTTTAAAAGCACATAATGTGCAGTAGATACACTTTTACTCATTTGTCAAAAGTTTGTACACTTTAGTTACACAAATACAACATAGCTATTGACAACAGTTATCTAATCATCACTTTCCAATGAGAATATAAAAATTGTCTACAATGTGCTATTGTCAAATGCAATTGGATCGGAGAGGGAGGGGGTAAGAGATCCAGTAAAAATCACCATTTTGCTATCTAAGCCTTTTAGTAATGTAAATATACATTACAATCTCTCCATAAATAATTATCTACCCTTTACATATAAGGGGGAATTCAGCACCCTATGAATATTCATAACACAGTATGCTTGTAAACAATTTCTTTTTTTCTTTTTTTTTAAGGTAATCAAACAAGAGGTTACAACCTCTACAAGGTGAATATTCGTGCCTAGCCAATTTCATCACTGTATACAAGCAACTCTCTCAGTCCAAACTGCTTATCACTCAATCTCTGCAATCAAACCTAAATCCACAACACAAACATTTCCAGCCTAATAGTCAATTTCATTGTTGGCCTCTTCTTCCTCCTCATATTTGGTTCCATTCTTGGCCCTCTCCTCTTCGTCCTTCATTGGGTAATTATTGTAATAGTTACTGCCATAATCTGGATAATCTGTTAGGAGAGAATTTTATATGATTAACAGAGACAATAGTAAACAGTTACCACATAACTAGTATAAGCTCCTTATACAAGTAAATGGCATTTTTTCAGTTATAATTTGGAAAGAATTATCAAATCAAATATAGTGATAAATTAGAAGAGCACATATCTTTCAAGAATGCTTGTGACAAACCAAAAATACTTTTTAATGTCAATCGTAAAACATATTCTTATATATATTATTCAGTTCTTTTCAAAGTGTAAAACAAACAAGAGTTTTGTCTTTACCATCCTCTGGTTCTTGCTTGATTTTGACAACACCTTCCTCAACTTCTTCACCAGGTACCCGCTCCCTCCTCTCACGATCCCTAGAAAGAGAGAAAGGCATAAATTACTAAGGAGATTAAAGGTTCATGACATTATAAAAGAGGCCACAAAAATATCCAAGTGACTAAATACAAATTAGGAACAATTGGTATCTCAGAACAATTAGAACTAGGTAACAATTAGAATGTGGATAACTAAAAAAATAGAGAATTACCACACAAACAGTTTTTCTCCATCACTCACCTGTCCCTACGGTGCTTCCTGTCACGTGACCTTGAGCGACGTTTACGATCCCTGGACCGAGACCTGTGGCGGCGCTTCTCCCTCTCTTCTCCTTCCTCTGGCATTCCTCTCTCACGGGATCGGGAACGTCTCCTCTTACGATCACGGCTGTACAAATTTACAAGTTTATCAAGACTGTACAATGTACCATGCAGTATGTGGTTTACTTTGTGTTGGTATTGAATACGTATCTTCAAATTACTGATCCAATACGTATCTTCAAATTACTGATCCAATACGTATCTTCAAATTACTGATCCAATACGTATCTTCAAATTACTGATCCAAGTCTAGCTAAGATCCACATAGCCATCTTCTTAAATTATGAATAACATACCTTCGTGACCGCCTGCGCCTTTCACGGTCACGATCTCTGTCTCTACTTCTGGAACGCCTTCTTTCTGAACCACGTTCACGGTCACGGTCTCTCTCACGGTCTCTATCTGCACTTCTGGAATGATAAAGAGACAGGAACATGAACAAATGTTCAACAAAATCACAATCAAATATAAAAATAAATAATATTCAATAAGCCCACCCCCCTAATATTCAAAAGGGAACAAATGCAACAGCAAAAGTAAAGGATACTGACTCCATTCGCTCATCATCCCGTCCACCACCACGCCTTCTGTCATCTTCACGGCCCGAATGCTTTATGTTGACATCTGGACCTCCACGTCTTGTTCCGCCAAGACCTCCACCTGTTCATAAAAATTACCGTTTGTAAGCACTAAATAATTGGTTTAATTTACTCTTCTTATTAGCAAGGAAAAGAATTTTAAAAGTGGCAAAACAAAACAAAAAAATAATAATAGTCATATTGAGTGAAAGAAAAAAAAAATTACATAAGAAAAATAATACTCATAATAAAACATGAAAGCGAAAACAAGTACATAGCATTTCCACAAAAAATATAAACAAGGACTGATTTTTTTTTTTCTATGTAGGAAAAGACACAAGTAAAGTTAATTCTTCCAGATTTTATGTACATTTTAACCCATTCACAATTGATAATATCTAATCATGTCATGGTGAGCAGGACCCTACTAGGTGGCAAGTATTCATGCCACTTGTGGTCAAGCCTGATCCAAGCAGTTGTTCCCTTGTTTGACCTCTTTGTGGTCACTGAAGAGATACAGACCTTCAAAAGAATGCTTAATTCTCTTTAGCCTCATCTTCTAAAACTCTCTTGCTCACTGCCAAGAGCAAGAGAGTGAGGTGGGTTCAGTATGGCACAGGGTTACTCTGTTGTGAATGGGTTAAGCAATTTTTTTTTGTAGACCCTCACAGTAAGAAGTGCAAATTCAAAGTTACTAGGTTACATTCACATTAATAGTTACATCAAAGTGTGTGTTAGATGCTGAAACAAAGCAGCAGCTGAATAACAAAAATTAACTCTTATTAATGTTACTACTGTAATATTTGTCTCACCTTAAAATATGTAATCACCCATTCAGTGTTAAAACATCTTCAAAAAAATCTACCTCTAAAGGAGACAAAAGCCATGAGACAGTTCTCCTCTGGTTTAAGTAAGGTGGAAAACTAGTGTCAAGTACTTGAAAAGGAGTCAGACTACAAAAATAATTTAATAACTCCTTATCATGTTTGTTGATATTAATTTGTGTGTTTTCAAATAAATTCATCAACTAAAGCAATATAACCTACCAGGAACATGTAATGTTCACTGTAGTTTACACTTATATGACTTCACATGTGCACAGCCACAAAGTCATCAATCAGTAGGCTTAATTTCCCCACTTACATGAGTTTCAAAGAAAAATGTGTTTTTTGTAATGTTATTAACCCACTGGATCCAGGTGACATGACTGTCACTTCACAAAAAAATTAGGCTGAGACCCAAGTGATGCGAATGTGCCATCATTTACAAATCTGGCTAAGGGCCAGGGTAACAGAAATGTGTCATCTTGAAAAGCTTGATTGAATGAGCGGCTGGTGGGAATAACTCGGATGCAGAAAGCTCTTGGGAGATAGATGAGACTCAGTGGGCATTTAAACCATTGGATCTAGTAGTATCATGGCAATCAAATCACAATAAATCCAGGCATTCAGCTTACATAAGCAGCCGCTCTTCCGGGTGGCTGCTTGTAGGCCAGGCATATGCAAACACTTGTGCGGTGACAAGATTACGTCTCCTATTTGCAAAGTTATTTACACTTTTTATGCATAGGCATTTTCAGCTCTTTGGCTATCTTCCAAGGTCCATAGTTGTCATTTGATTTTCATTATCCAGATGGTAATTTTCCCCACCCCTCAGACTCCCTGTCATCTCTCTAGGTAGTCTACAAATTATGTAACATTATCTTTACATATATTCAATTTTCTGTAATATACCTGCACCACCGCTCACAGAACCAGGCATACAATCCTGAGCATTGTATGCTCACATCGCCCAAATCCAAGACATTAAGGGACTGTTGCATTATTTCCACCAGTAAACAAGGGTGAAATGTACTATCTGTGAGCTTTGGCTGGAAGAGTGCTGGCTCCAGGAAGAACACTATTTCCATGCTTATGATCTTATTCCTGACCACTGTAGCCAGGAGTGCAAGGTGTGTCACAGAAACTTAAATAATACATAAATTGTATAAAATGACACAAATAACAATGTTACTTATTGCTATTGTTATTGCACATAGTTGTAGACTACCCAGAGATAATATGGAGTCTGTGCAAGGTAAAAGTCTACTACCGTCTTGATACAACGTATTAACCCAACGTCGACAGGTATTAGAAATCACCAAGTGTCATAAACTCTGGCAACGTCTAGATGCAGAAGTCTGCTATAACTACCAGAACTTCCCACTCCACACACGACCAAGCAGTATGTTATGACACTTGTACACATGAACCATCCATAAAGGGTTAAATGACAAACATACATTGGAGAATGGCCCATAAACAAA